CAATTATCAGCACTGAACAACTGTCAACTGAACAACTGTCAACAGAACAGACTTTTTTATAATATATTGCAATTATTATAAAGCTTAAATTCTACCATTTCATTTAATGCGCAATACTGTCCTGAAGGTCAGTATGAGGAACCACCAGCGATCTACAAAACATCCAGAATTTTGCTCCTTCTGCAGTGGGATTATACAAGAGTTTGAAACAAGATCCATAAGCTCATTTGACTATTCTTTACCCTGGTATTTTATAAGAGCATTTTAATTATGAGACATCTATATCTTCCATCTCTTCCATGAGTTCAGGTCTGAGACCTACCTTACTTTGCATACAGCTGGTCCAAGAGGATGCCATGACAGAGATCTGTGATAATACAACCAAGAACATCTGACACTCACTGTTGGGCAAAACTAGAGGCCTTCCCACATCACCACCAACTCATTTAAAAAATGGAAAGTGTATTTAAGTAAATTAACATCCCTAGAGGGATTATAGGTAAATGCTAGGCTTGTGCACAGTAGAAATGTTTGGTTCTTCTCAACTGATACATTTCTGATTTTCTAAAATTTTGGGTCCTAAAAATAATGGTCAAATATTTTTTGGTTTGATTTGAAAAATTTTGGATTAATCCAAAAATAGTCGGTGAAGCCCTGGAATGAAGGAAAAAAGGCATTTATAGTATTGCGTTAAAAAAAAAAAATTAAATCACTCAAACTGTAAATTAGCGATTCAAAGGTGAAGTTACATTACCGTCTCTACTAGACTTGCGCCATTTTTCAGTTCTCCAGAATTAATATGGCTGGATTTTTAATTGATTTGAAAATCTGAGATTCAAAATGACACCAAATCAGTCAAACTTCTGCTGAATCCGAATTCTAAATTACCCGAATCTTAAAGTCTAGTAAATGCTTACTGCTTAGTCTATTAAATGGGAAATTAACTCTGAGTGTACGGAAAAATAATCATATCATAAAGAATACAATGTTTCCCTTTCATAAATCTATTGTGTTAAACCTGAAACAAAACTTATTGTATGCAACAAATGTTTAACATTTAATCCCGGTTTCCTGCATGAGTGCGTTGGTAATGAATTTTGGCTGTGTCTCAGAGGGTAATTCTTTCATATTTTTAATTTTAATGTGATATAATTTAGAGGAACATTACCAGCTGTGAAATAAACTACTCAGGTAGCGAGAAAAAGTCTAACCTTTAATAGAGGTTTCTCTTTGTATCATGAAATTATTCAGACGTGCTGGAAATATTGTTCAATTAATAATTTAACTTAATGGTTCAATGGAATTTATCACAGCATATTAGGTGACCTTTATTCTTCCTCCTGTATTGCTTATTTGTATTTTATTTTATTTGTATTTATTTTTTGTTCTGTGCCTAATTAAACAATTTTTCTTCTGAAGGTAATAGCATCTTGCTATTCGACGAGAATTAGAATTAGTCTTTTCTGAGTGTAATTTTTGTTTTGAAGCATTGGCAAATGAATATATCTAAATTTATATATAAGATTGTGTGTTTTATATTTCACTGCAATCTAATCAATTAAAGAGACAGTGCTAGTACCATAGCAAAGTATTTAGGTTGCATAGGATATGGTTCGAAAAATGCTTCAACCTTTGCCACCTTTGCAAAACGAATGCATCAAACAGGGACACTTTAATTCTTTGATCTTGCAATATTTTTCTGTGCACATGCTCAGTTAATGCAGATGATTTGTGGTATGAGTGCGGTCATCTGGGAATGAACACCATACTGATTAAACTTCTTGAACTATCAAGGCCAGGGATAGGCAACCTTTGGTACTACATCTCCAATAATGCTCTTGCAGCCATACATCTCACACACAGAAGAGAAAATAGCACAGTCAGTAAAAAAGGGGGAGAAAACATTTTTTAGATAAATAAATGAGAAAAGAAAAGTAAAACAAGGATTAGTTAGATTAAAAACAAAAGAAGGAAGGTATGTAGAAGAGGATAAAGGTCTAGCTGACTGCCTCAATGAATATTTTTGTTCTGTATTTACAGATGAAAATGAAGGAAAAGGACCTCAGTTGAGAAAAAGCATAAATGAGTCATTTATTACACGTGAGTTTACAGAGGAAGAGGTTCTATTTCAATTGTCAAAAGTAAAGACAAATAAGTCAATGGGACCTGATGGAATACACCCAAAGCTATTAAAAGAGCTTAGTGGTGTACTAGCAAAACCATTAACAGATGTATTTAACCAATCATTGTTAACAGGAGTAGTCCCAAAAGATTGGAAGTTAGCGAATGTTGTGCCCATTTACAAGAAAGGTAATAGGGAGGAGTCGGGCAACTATAGGCCAGTAAGCCTTACTTCAGTAGTGGGGAAAGTGATGGAAACCATGTTAAATGATAGGATTGTTGAACATCTAAAAACACATGGATTTCAAGATCAGCGACAACATGGATTTACTTCAGGGAGATTATGCCAAACTAATCTTATTGATTTATTTGATTGGGTAACTAAAATTATAGATCAGGGTTGTGCAGTAGACATTGCTTACCTAGATTTCAGTAAGGCTTTTGACACTGTTGCACATAGAAGGCTTATCAATAAACTGCAATCTTTAAGTTTGGATTCCAATATTGTTGAATGGGTAAGGCAGTGGCTGAGTGACAGGCAACAGAGGTTTGTAGTTCATGGAATATATTCGAAGCTTGGACTTGTCACCAGTGGGGTACCTCAGGGATCTGTACTTGGACCAATTCTCTTTAATATTTTTATTAGTGATATTGCAGAAGGTCTTGATGGTAAGGTATGTCTTTTTGCTGATGATACTAAGATATGTAACAGGGTTGATGTTCCAGGAGGGATAAGCCAAATGGCAAATGATTTAGGTAAACTAGAAAAATGGTCAGAATTTTGGCAACTGAAATTTAATGTGGATAAGTGCAAGATAATGGACGTCATCTTGGACGTAAAAACCCAAGGGCAGAGTACAGAATATTTGATAGAGTCCTAACCTCAACAATTGAGGAAAGGGATTTAGGGGTGATTATTTCTGATGACTTAAAGGTAGGCAGACAATGTAATAGAGCAGCAGGAAATGCTAGCAGAATGCTTGGTTGTATAGGGAGAGGTATTAGCAGTAGAAAGAGGGAAGTGCTCATGCCATTGTACAGAACACTAGTGAGACCTCACTTGGAGTATTGTACACAGTACTGGAGACCGTATCTTCAGAAGGATATTGAAACCTTAGAGAGGGTTCAGAGAAGGGCTACTAAACTGGTTCATGGATTGCGGGATAAAACTTACCAGGAAAGGTTAAAGGATCTTAACATGTATAGCTTGGAGGAAAGACGAGACAGGGGGGATATGATAGAAACATTTAAATATATAAAGGGAATCAACACAGTAAAGGAGGAGACTATATTTAAAAGAAGAAAAACTACCACAACAAGAGGACATAGTCTTAAATTAGAGGGACAAAGGTTTAAAAATAATATCAGGAAGTATTACTTTACTGAGAGGGTAGTGGATGCCTGGAATAGCCTTCCAGCTGAAGTGGTAGAGGTTAACACAGTAAAGGAGTTTAAGCATGCGTGGGATAGGCATAAGGCTATCCTAACTATAAGATAAGGCTAGGGACTAATGAAAGTATTTAGAAAATTGGGCAGACTAGATGGGCCGAATGGTTCTTATCTGCCGTCACATTCTATGTTTCTATGTTTCTAAAAGTATACGAGAAACAGGGGGAAACCGTTGTCAAAACCTGTAAAAAATGAACAACTCATAGTGAAAACCATAATATGCATGTAACAACAGACACGCTATAAGAAGCACTCACCCCCCTAATATTTTAGGGGGGTAGAGCATGGATCCACTGGACTCTGAGATGCGGATATCAAAATAGAGCAGGGACCAAAATAACAGTAGAAAAATATTTATTGCTAAAAAAGCATTGGTCCAACGCGTTTCGTTCAATTAGAACTTCTTAAGAGACCTCTTAAGTTAAAACATGAATAAAATTATACAATACAGAAAAGATTCCCGCTATGCGTCTGTTGTTACATACATATTATGGTTTTCACTATGAGTTGTTAATTTTTTTATAGGTTTTGACAACGGTTTCCCCCTGTTTCTCGTATACTTATGTTCTACCAGGCATCTACGTGGAAACCATGGGAAGTTGTCATAAAGCTAAGTCTGTTTTTTATATTTTTAAACACATATTATTGTATTTTGTGTTTTTTGGTACTATACATCTGGCAAAGAATCAGGGGGAATTCAGTCCACAACATCTAGTATGCTGAAGGTTGCCAACCCTTGATCTAAGTAGTTATTTAGTTTTTGGGTAGCCACAACTTCTTGAATGTCAGGTCTTAATTGACTAATAACGAAGCATTGCTTATATGGGGAACTACCAAATAGCTGCTCCTCTTTTTGTAGTCTACCCCTACATACGTCCCAAATTTCCCTATTTAGGTAGACCAAATCTATCTACTCCTCTTTTCTATGCGGATTGTCCTCTTCTCTAGGATCTCCTTAATGCTTGTGTGTTGGTGTGTACAGGGGCGGACTGAGAACCCTCAGGGCCCCCGGGCAAAATAAATCAAGGGCCCCCTTACAGGCCTCACCCATACTCTGCAGCAAGCGCCACCCTTGTCCCGCCTCCAGCCACACCGTACACAATCTTTAGACACAAGGAACAAAAGGGCAATAAGCCCTTCGAGGCCCCAGTAGAGACTACAATTGAGGGCTAATGGGCCATGGAGGGGGGTCTTTCTAGCGGAGGCTATCTCAGTGTCCTTTAGAGAGTGTGTTAGAAAGAATCCCCTCCAAGCCCCATTAGAGACTACAATGGAGTCTAAAAGGCTTGGAAGGGGGTCTTTCTAACAGAGGCCATCTCAGCGTCCATTAGATATCCCCTGCTGGAAACAGTCGCCTCCAGGCCCCAGTAGAAACTACAATTGAGGGCTAATGGGCCATGGAGGGGATTTCTAGCAGAGGCTAGAGTCTAATGGGGCCTGGAGGGTGGTCTCTCCAACACTCTGGTTCCTATTCACAATATAGCAACACAACATAGCTCGCTGATACCTAAGCCAAGTTGGCTCCTCTTACCTTAATTACTGTTGCTGGCTGGCAGTCTGTGGGCTTGCTGGCTGCGGCTGGCAGGCTGTGGGCTTGCTGGCTACTGCCGGCAGGCTGTGGGCTTGCTGACTGCGGCTGGCAGGCTATGGCTTGCTGGCTGTAAGCCTGTGGCTTGTTGTAGGCCTGTGGGCTGGCTACTGGCCTGTGGGCTGGCTACTGGCCTGTGGGCTGGCTACTGGCCAGCCTGTGGGTTGGCTGGCTGGCTACTGGGGCACTTGTAGATTATTTAAAGAAATAATCCATGCACAATAACCACTACTGCTCCAGAGTAAGTAGTCAAACCGTTTAAGAACAGTTTGACAACTTACCTGGGGTCTGCTGGGATATGAGGCTGTAGTAGGGAATAGGAGCAGTGGTGCAATGTGTGTGAAAGGTTCAGTGTGTGTGTGGGGGTGTAGTGTGTGAATGTGTAGGGTGTGTGGGCAGTGTATGTGTGTGGCAATGTTAGTATGGGGGGCTGTGTATGGGGGTCTGTGTGTATATGGGTGGGCAGTGTATGTGTGTGTGTGTGAGGCAATGTGTGTAAATGTGTATGGTGTGTATGGGGGCAGTGTGTGAATGTGTATGGTGTGTGTGTGGGGGCAGTGTGTTTATGGGGCTAGAGTTCACTCTCACCACTGCGACCACCAGGAATCCATGGGGGTTACAGTGTTGAGAGTGAACTCTAGCCCGTAGCTCCAGGGCTAGAGTTGACTCTCGCAAGAGCAGTAACGCTGCCATGGTAACCGCGGCAACGCTCTGTGCTCGCGCAAGAAGGACCCAGAGGAGCTGCAGGGTGAGCTCCCAGGTCCTCTCTTCCTCCCCTGCCCGCACGGTGC